ATTCCTGGACTCACTGCTGTGACCCCTCATGGATGGCAGGGCTGGGAAACCACTGGAGAACCAGGAGGTTTGGTCACAGCAGGACGAGAGATGTTTCATCAAGAACCCAATTTAACAGCGCTGACAGAATCATGGAATCATGGAATGCTTTGGCTTGGAAGGACCTTAAAGTTGATCTCATTCTACCCCCCACCACGGGCAGGGACACCTCCCACTACCCCAGGCTGATCCAAGCCCCGTCCAACCTGGCCTTGGACACTTCCAGGGATGGAGAATCCACAACTCTCCAGCAGAAGCTGCCAAGCCCTTGGGAGTCCCTGTGCTTTATCTACCTTTTATTTTTAGTACACATTAACTTACACATGTTTTACTTCACATCTTATCTGATCAGGAAAGTCTAGACGTGGCCTTGGACAGCCACTGTGTAACATGACCCTAAAAACCCCGGCAGGAAAACAGCTTTAAACATTAAACTCCTTCCATGCATCCCTTCAGCCACAGAATGACTCCAAAAGTTAATTTTTAAGCAAATTCATTTCAAAGGAATGTCTGAATTAATAATTAATATTTTAAATGTCAAGTCAAGTACCAGAATTCCATGCATGATAAATGAATTTACCTCACTGAAGGGAGTTAAGGGGAGACCCAGGGCTGCCTTCCCACACACACTGATTTCTGGCTGCCCCCAGCACAGGAGCTTTATTTACACAGCTCATGGCAATCTCACTTCAGAAGGGCTGTCCCAAGGACAGGGAATTGTCGGGAAGGAAATCTTGGCTGGGAGGGTGGGCAGGCCCTGGCACAGGTTGCCCAGAGAAGCTGTGGCTGCCCCATGATCCCTGGAAGTGTCCAAGGCCAGGCTGGAGCAGCCTGGGCTGGTGGAAGGTGTCCCTGCCCATGGCAGGGGTTTGAAATATGATCTTCAGGGTCCCTTCCAACCCAAATATTCCATGATCTCTATGATTGACACCAGCTCTAAATACACTTTGCATATCAACAAAACAGAATCCACCAGTGACTTGCTGATCTCTCCCTCTCTCCAGGGTTGGAAACCTCGGGCACTCCCCCCACTTTACAGGATAAACACAACCACAACACAAGCAGGTGTACGAAAGGTTAATTTCTGTTAGAAAAGAACCATCTCCAGAGCACCTTCCCCATTCTGAGCTCCAGCCAGGCTCTGGTGCCTGTGTTAACTTGCCCTGTGTTCAGAAAACCACAGAGAGCAGCAGCACAGGGCTCAGCCCAGCCTGCCTGGAGAGCACTGGCAGCTGATATTTCTGCAAGCTTTAGTTAATACTGCCAAACTGCTGCAAAAAGAGAAGCCCTCTTGCTCCAGAGGTGTTTCCTACGGATCTTGGTGTCCAGGCCCTGTTTGTAGATACTCCAAAGGAACTCAGCTGCCTGATTCATCAACCCAAAAAGACACAGATCTCTTTAGGAGCCTGAATTAAAGGTAACAAACACCAAGGAAGGGATGAGCACATCTGCATTTGGGTCTAGACATGAACGTTGAGGTTCTAAGTACAGAAACATTAACTCACATTTATTTATGCTCACAGTTTCCTAACAGCCTGGTTGCAGAGGAGCACTCACTGTCTGTGACATCATCCAGCACAGCAACAAGTTACCAAGCAACTGGGAATTAAATTCTCACTACGTAAACGTGGCAGGAGGAATCTCCTCTGCACAGCCTTTGATTTCCTGGGATCTCTTTGCTTCAGTTCAATCTCAGGAGACAAATAAAATATGTCCACTTATAAAAACCCCAACCACCACAGAAACCCCACCACACACAGATACCACACATGGGTGTTGTACCCAAAACGTGTCCTAGCACCACTGCCAAAGGCAAAGCCAACTGGACAATATTCCAGAGACTCCTTCCCTTTCCAGCTGCTGACTGGCTAAGCGATCAAATCAAAACTCCATCAGAATTGCTATTCCAGCCTGACCTACAATTTTCCCAGTGGGATCAGCCTGAGGAGCAAGAGCCATCCAGGCATTTGGCATCCTCCAGGTTTCTCCCAGGGCAGTCAAAGAGCCCTAGCTCAGCCCCACTCCAGAGCCTGAGCTGAAGGAACGGGTCAGTTCTCCCCCAGACAGCTTCAGGACCCTCTCAGCAGTCAGGCAGATGCTCTCAAACACAAATATACGAACAAAGGCTGTGTTTTCCCCACTCTTGTGCTCATTTCTTGGGGTTCATCTGTCACTGCTGGCATGCCAGAGCTACGACACAGTGGTCAGGCCTAAGACATGACCTCAGGGAGCCCAGTAACTTCATAAATTGCATTTATTTCTTTTTAATAAGTGATAAGTTGATTGGTTAAATCTGACACAGGGAACTGCCAAACTTGCCCTCCCAGACCGATGTGAGTGCACAGATCCCTGCCCATAAATCAGCCATCCCTCCCAAATATCTGCCACTTAACGAGCCTCTGACAACTTTCCAACCTCCCCTTGGAAATGCCTTAGGATGAGCGATGCCAGGGAGTTACATACCTGCTCCACACCCTTCGGGAACGGCATCCTGACTGCCGAGCCACCTTCCCCGTCTCCAGCCAGCTCGCTTTCCCACGGCAGCTTGTTCTTCCCTCTGCCGGCGCTCAGGGCTCTCCTGGGGCTCACCGCTTGCCCGGCACACCCGGAGCCGGGGCCGTGCGGCGCCTCTTCCCCGGCGGGGCACCCGCAGCGAGCGCTCTGCGTCCCGCTGCCCATCAGCAGCCACTCGGTGTCGGCGCCGGGGGGGCGGCAGCGCCCGCGGCAGCGCCCGGCGGAGGGCAGGGGCAGCGCGTACTCCACACAGCCCTGCTCGCCCAGCCTGGGCAGCGCCTTCCTGGCCAGCCGCGCCTGCAGGGCGAGCAGGGCCCCCGCGCCGCCCGCCCGCAGCTCCGCGGCGCCCACGGCCCCGAGCAGCTCCTGCGTCCGGCCCGAGCCCATGGCCGCGGCCAGCGCCGCCAGCGCCTCCAGCGCGGCGTGCCGGACCCTGCGCTTCGAGTCCAGCAGCGCGGGCGCCAGCGCGGCCGCCAGCCGGGGCAGGTCCAGCTGCTCGCCGGGGTAGGTGAGCAGCGCGGCCGTGCAGGTGTTGAGCAGCTCCTCGCGGAGCCGGGCGCTGCGGTGGCGCAGCAGCCGCTCCTGCAGCAGCAGGCGCAGCACGGCCCGCGGCCCCGCGGCGCCCATGAGGCGCAGCAGCAGCCGGGCGCCGTCCCTGCGCATCGCGGGCTGCGTGTCCCCCAGCGCCCGCGCGGCCGCGGCCACCAGCGGCCCGAGCACGGCGGGCAGCCTCGGCCCGAGCCGCAGCGCCAGCAGCCGCGCCGCCTCCAGCGCGCCCCGCGCCACCGCGAAGTTGGGGTCGCGCAGCAGCGCGTCCAGCAGCGCGATCAGCCCGCGCAGCGCGGCGGCGGGCGCGGCGCTCAGCGCGGCCGGGCTGCAGCCCTCCAGCGCCCGCCGCAGCTGCTCCACCGCCTGGGCGCGCCGCCGGTAGTCGCGCCGGTCCAGCAGCCGCGCACGGAGCTCGGCGGGCACCAGCGGCAGCTCCGCATGGCCGGGCACGGGCCAGTCCTCCGCGTCCCGCGGCGGGTCCAGCGGCTCCGAGCCCCGAGCGGGGCCGGGGGGCTCCGTGTGCCCCGGGCCCTCCTGAGGGCCGGGGGGCTCCGCGTCCCTCGCATCCCGCCGCGGGTGGAGCGGCGCCGTGCCGGGGCCCTCCCGAGCGGGGCCGGCGGGCTCCGTGTGCCCCGGGCCCTCCCGCGGGTCGGGGGGCTCCGCGCCCTCCTCAGCGGGGCCGGGGGGGTCCGTGCCCGGAGCCTCCTCAGCGGGGGCGCCGCGCTCCCGCAGTCCGTGTGCGCTGGATGCAGGTGCCGGTCCCGGTCCCTGTGCCGGTCCGGTGCCGGTCCCGGGCCGTGTCCCCGCCCGCCCCCGCCGGGCTCGCCCATGTCCCCGGCCCGCGGCCATGGGGCCCCTCAGGCCCCGCCCGGCAACGCCGCCGTCGCCAGGGGGCGCCGCACACGGCGCCGGCGTGGAGCGCACCACTCCCGGCCAACCGGGGGGGGGACACGCACATATCCCCGCACCCTCTCCTCACCGCGATTCCAGGATGAATAGGGGAGAGACTACGCAGATGAGGGAGCGCAGAGCGGTCTTGAGGGAGCAGAGGGGACGAGGCCGCGCTGGGGAGCGGCGGGGAAACGAAGCAGCGGTGAGCCCCCCCCGCGCGGGGTGCGAGTGGTCCCGGCCGGGCAGGGGCGGAGGTGGGTGTGAGCGGCGCCCCGGCCGCTGATTGGCCAGGCGGGCCGGGCGGAAGTGACGTCGCGGGCGGTGCAGAGCGGAGCGAGCGGTGCCGCGGCCGGGCCGGGCCGGGACAGGTGGGAAAGGAGGGACAGGGAGAGGGAACCGGGACGGGGGGAGAGCTCCGGGACGGGGGGAGAGCTCCGGGACGGGGAGAGAGCTGACGAGGACGGGGGAGAGCTCCGGGACGGGGAGAGCAGGACGGGGACTGGGAGGAGAGCTGACGGGAGAGACCGGGACGGGGGAGAGAACTGACGGGAGAGCACGGGGGTGAGCTCTGGGACAGGGGGAACAGGGAGAGAGGTCCGGGACAGTGGGACAGGGGGGACAGGTGGGACCGGGAGAGAGCACCGGGACAAATCACCGGGATGGAGCTCCGGGGACCCGCGGTGCAGCGGGCAGGCCGCCTCCTGGCGCGGGGGGCAGCGGGAGCGGCCTGGGGCGCTCGAGGGACCCGCCCGGGGAGCCCCCCATGTGGGCGGGCAGCGGCGGGGCCCGGGAATCCCGGAGCGGTTTGGGTTGGAAGGGGCTCGAGTCCCGTCCCGTTCCACCCCCTGCCGTGGGCGACAGCTCCCCTGGGTGCTCCCAGCCCGCTCCCCCCGCAGGGACTGTCCCAGCCCCGCTCCCTCGGCCCCGGGCAGGCTGGGCTGGATTTGTCACCAGCGCTGGGCACGAACACACGGACAGCGTCAGCTCCGTGAGCGAGGCGCTTGCTCTTTGATTTCTTGCCGGTTTTTGCGAGGTGTTGGACCCGAACCCAGCCCGGCTCTCAGGCGGTGGGTGAGGTTTGTGCTGTCTCGGGACTCCCAGAACCAGCCCAGTGGCTTCGCTGCCCCGGGAATTCCGGGCTCCAAATCGGGGCTTGGCAGGCACCGAAATTCCCCCGCGGGGCACAGAAGTGCCCGGAGCTGTCCCTGCTGGTTCCTGCTCTGCACACACACGGCCTTTTGGCAGAGAGAGATCCCTCAGCGAGCCGGCTCTGCCGGGGAACCTCCTTATTTCCCATAACTTGCTGTTCAGGATGAGTTTTGAGCCCAGCCTGGGAGGATGTGAGAGCGCAGAGCCCCGTGGTGGCCGCTGATGGGAGCTGGGAGCACAAACCCCTGCCCTGGGGTGCAGCCCAGGGCTGGGCCGTGTTCCAGCTGCTGGTTCTTGCTGAGCAGACTGTGCTGTGGGTGTGCAGGGGGGGAGAGAGCTTCTGCCAGGGTGCTGCAAAAACTTCTGTTGCTGTAGAGAAACTTAAATATAGCTGTTTATAATTATATGGTTATAAAGCTGAGCCGTGACCATTCCTTCTGCCTGCCATGTGTCTGTGTTTGTGCAGCCAAGTTCTGACCAGAACACAGATACAAGGGGGAAATAAAGTGTTTTAGCTGCTGAACAGCTTTTCTTTTTTTTAAATTTATTTTTTTTAATACTCCCTGCAAAATTTGTGCTGCAAAACTCTGATAGGGAAAACATTGTATATTATCATGCCTTTTACAGGTGTGCTTAAAATACTTTCTTTCAGTTATTTTTTTCTAGTGCAGAGCTATAATAGGAGACCTTCTGTATCTTTCCACGGGTAGGAGGTTTCCCTCCCTACCTGTGATCCTTCACTTCCCTGTCAGTGCTTTATGCTCTGCATTTAAACCTTGGCAACTCCTTTTGTTCTTTCAGATGAAGCACTCCTAAGTGGGCTCCCTGCAAGGGAGGTGTCAGTTAAGGAGCTCTAAAAATGATGAACTTATTGTTGAGATGAAAGGAGTGAGAGCTTGGAGATCACTTCTCAGATTGCCGTGAAATCAGCTGTTCAGTGAGGGCTGGGGGGGGACAGTGGGCTTGTTTCTCGTGGTCCAGGAGCTGACACGTCCCCTCCTCCCCCTCTGTGCAGGGATGGGGCTGAACGAAGAGCTGCTGCTCCAGGTGGAACTGTGATGCTGCTGCAGTGAGAGCAGGTGTCCAAGTGTGCAGTGGAACCTCTGGGAAGGAGGGTAAGGCTCTGCTGAGCTCCTCTGTGCATCCAGAGCACAGGAGCCTCTGCTCCTGCTTTTCCTGCCCCCCAGGCTCTGTGGGGCTGGTTTGAAGGGAAGGAATGGGATGGGATGGGAATGGAGAGCTGGGCCCTGCTACAGCCTGGGAGAGGGAGGCACAGCAGGGCTGGGCTGCTCCCCAGGAGCACTGAGCAGGCAGGAGTTGAGCTGCACAAAGGAGTTTTAGAACTTTAAACACTCAGGCTAAAATAAGCCAGTTCTATTCTTTAGTTATCTCTTTATTTATTTTTATTATAGTTACTGTTCAGTTCTCTCAAATCCCTGATGTAGAGCCATGGAATATCCTGAACTGGAATGGACCCACAGGGATCATCCAGTGCAACCCCTGTCCCTGCCCAGGACACCCCAACAATCCCACCCTGTGCCCCAGAGGATCATCCAAACCCTCCTGGAGCTCTGGCAGCCTTGGGGCTGTGCCCACTGCCCTGGGGAGCCTGTTCAGTGCCAACCACCCTCTGGGGGAAGAGCCTTGTCCTGAGATCCAACCTGACCCTCCCTGGCACAGCTCCAGCCCTTCCAGGGTCCTGTCCCTGCTCACAGGGAGCAGAGACTGAGCTGCCCCTCGGGAGGAGCTGCAGACCCCGCTGAGCTCTGCTCTCAGTCTCCTCTCCTCCAGCTGAACAACCCAAGTGCCCCCAGCTGCTCCTTGTATGGCCCCTCCAGCCCCTTCACCATCCTCATGTCCCTCCTTTGGACACCCTCCAGCAGCTTTAAATCTTGCTGATATGGTAGTACCCAAAACTGAGGCTGCCCCAGCAGATCCTGTCACGCAGTCCCTGTGTCAGATAACAGGCATTTGATTCCAGAACAAAAACAAGTGATAGTTGGGTTGTTTTTTGATGTAGAGATGGATCTGGCACAGACTATTAATGAACATTTGAATTTAACTGGATTTAACTGGCATGAAACAGCATCGCACGTGAGGGTTGAGGAGGTGAGCTGGGGATTAACAGATCTGGCCATTTCAAGGCAAGGATGGTGGCACTGGTTAGATGCTGTGTGTGTTGGGTGCAGCCCAGTGACCGTGTGTCCTGCCGCAGATGGACCCGTCGTCCCCGCCGTACCTGCTGGCCAAGCTGGCCCCGCTGCACTCGGAGCAGCTGCTGCAGGGCCTCAACGTGCTGCGGCAGCACCGCGAGCTGTGCGACGTCGTGCTGCGCGTGGGCGACGCCAAGATCCACGCGCACAAGGTGGTGCTGGCCAGCATCAGCCCCTACTTCAAGGCCATGTTCACCGGCAACCTGTCGGAGAAGGAGAACGCCGAGGTGGAGTTCCAGTGCGTGGCCGAGGCGGCGCTGCAGGCCATCGTGGAGTACGCCTACACCGGCACCGTCTTCATCTCCCAGGACACCGTGGAGTCGCTGCTGCCCGCCGCCAACCTGCTGCAGGTGAAGCTGGTGGTCAAGGAGTGCTGCGCCTTCCTGGAGAGCCAGCTGGACCCCGGCAACTGCATCGGCATCTCGCGCTTCGCCGAGACCTACGGCTGCCACGACCTGTACCTGGCGGCCAGCAAGTACATCTGCCAGAACTTCGAGGACGTGTGCCAGACCGAGGAGTTCCTGGAGCTGACGCACGCCGAGCTGGACGAGATCGTGTCCAACGACTGCCTCAACGTGGTGACGGAGGAGAGCGTGTTCTACGCGCTCGAGGCCTGGATCAAGTACGACGTGCGGGAGCGCCAGAAGCACCTGGCGCAGCTGCTGCACTGCGTGCGCCTGCCCCTGCTCAGCGTCAAGTTCCTCACGCGCCTCTACGAGGCCAACCACCTCATCCGCGACGACCACACCTGCAAGCACCTGCTCAACGAGGCCCTCAAGTACCACTTCATGCCCGAGCACAGACTGTCCCACCAGACCATGCTGATGACGCGGCCCCGCTGCGCCCCCAAAGTGCTCTGTGCCGTGGGGGGCAAGGCCGGGCTCTTCGCCTGCCTGGAAGGGTAAGGAGTGCACACAGGGAGGGGTGGCCATGGGGCTGTGGTCACCCCAGGGCTCTGCCTGCCTGGAGAGGTAAGGAAGGCATAGATGGAGGGATGGCTGTGGTCACCCCAGGGCTCTTCACCTGCCTGGAGAGTAAGGAATGCATAGATGGAGGGGTGGCCATGGGGCTGTGGTCACCCCAGGGCTCTTTGCCTGCCTGGAAGGGTAAGGAATGCCCAAGGGGACAGTGGCCATGTGTGACCGTGATCACCTCAGGTCAGGGTAAATCACTCCTTGGACAGCTGTGATTTCAGAGCCATCGAGGCTGGAAAAGGCCTCATGTTTGCAGGGTGTAGTTGCTGTTTTCCTTCATAAGAACTCTTAAGCAGAGTGTTGGTTTTTTTAACAAGCACAAGGACAATTCAAAATGCTTTTATATTTCATGAGTAATCTGAAGCGCTGCAGGGTTTTGCTTGTGCCAACACACATAACTGTGGAATCATTTTCATTCTGCTGATTGAGTTAATAATGTGGTTAATTGAAGTTTGTGTGTTGGTTCTTTATCATTTCAGGTATTTTCATTTTACCTGATTTTCCCATCATTTATTATTATTCAAAAAAAATTCATAAAAATTAACTTAATATATGACAAATAGGCTTCCTGATAACTCAAAAATCCTTGGAATTTACACAGATTTATTCAGAGGACAGCAAAGGAGAAGAAAAGGAGGGTCAGGGGGACAACTCCCTGACAGGAGGGGGGAGCCAGGGGGGTTGGGCTCTGCTCCCAGGGAACAGGGACAGGAGGAGAGGGAACGGCCTCCAGGCTGTGCCAGGGGAGGCTCAGGTGGGACAGCAGCAGGAATTTCTGCCTGGAAAGGGTGGTCAGGCCCTGGCAGGGGCTGCCCAGGGAGGTTTGGAGTGCCCAGCCCTGGAGGTGTCCAAGGCAGGCCTGGCCGTGGCACTCAGTGCTCTGGGCTGGGGACAAGGTGGGCATCGGGCACAGGGGGATCCATGGGCTGGGAGGGCTTTTTCAGCCTCAGGGATTCTGTGAAGGGGTTCTTGATCACGATACAATCCTGATTTTAGTCTGTAGGTGTCCCTGCCTGTGCTGGCAGGAACAGGTAGGTGCCCATCTGTGTTCCTTGGATTCCAGAAGGAACCTCCTGTTCCATCCCTGGGGAGACCCCTGAGGCTCATCATGGGAGCAGAAGGATTGTAACACAGAGGAGAATGGCTTTGCTTCCCCAGACTGGTGTGGCTGGGTTTGCTTTGACATGGCATTAACATTTCCAGACCTGGGAGTTAAACTGTCTGTGGATCTGCTTATGTACATATATACAAATATATACCTACATACATACATACACACAAGTGCTTTGATGTTGGGTGCCCTTATCAGCTCCGTGAATGTTCCCTGTGCTCAGGGACTGCCTGAACTGGTTCCCCAGCTGGATTCTGGGATGTTCATTTACTCCAAGATACTCTTTTCCATGATAGTTCCAGATTTGCAGATATGAATATACTCTTAAAAGCCTGGAAAAGGCCATATGTTCCTTTCCTCTGTGCTCAGAGATGTTGTCAAAATCATTTAGTTTTTAAAGTTTCTTCAATTAATTTATGGGGTCCAACATTAAACTAGATGTTAGGTCTATAGATTTAAAAAATAAAGGGGGTTTTGTGCTTCATTAAAAAAATCTGTTTGAGTGAATAAACTTGTCCTCTGATACTCTGCAGCTCTGCTTCTCCCCCAGCCTCTTAAGTGATTTTAACAGGGTTACATAGCAGCATAATTTGGAATATTTTGATTTCTTTTTTGCTTCTTCATAACAAAATTACTGAGAATATATTTAGTCTATATTCTCTAACACCAGCCTGGTGTTTCAGCAGCTCCTGCTTCTGGGTTTTTAGTGCCTGTCAGCTCTCCAGGGGCCTCATGCTCTTGGATGGTTCATATTTCCTCTCTACTGGAGAGCCTCTTAATTATTGAAGTCATTTATTAATTAAACTATTTAGGAGGATTGCCTAGACTTTATATAGAGCAGGCTCAACCCACCGTGTTCTAACACTGAGTATAATTAAAAGGAAATGCAATAAACAGCATTTTAAAGACAGATTTGTTCTACACCAACGTTCTGTTTAAATTATAGAGCGCACCTGAAATATGTGTTCATAAAACTGCACATTATACTTTCCAAGTGCATATTTGTACATAAATATAGAATGTGTCTCCTCCTCTCTAATTTTCTCTTCTCTCTTTGATCTTGGTGGCTGTTCTTTTTTTTCTGTTTTAAACTTACCCTTCTCATCCCTTGGGTTTTTAGCTGGGTGTTCCCACGTGCTCCCTGTTTTCCTGTTCCAGCATGGAGATGTACTTCCCCTGGGATGGCTCCAGTTGGGTTTTCCCATGTGATCCCTGTTTTCCCATTCCAGCATGGAGATGAGATGTACTTCCCCCGGGATGGCTCCATGGGTGTTCTCACGTGCTCCCTGTTTTCCCATTCCAGCATGGAGATGAGATGTACTTCCCCCGGGATGGTTCCAACTGGGTGTTCTCACGTGATCCCTGTTTTCCCATTCCAGCATGGAGATGAGATGTACTTCCCCTGGGATGGCTCCATTGGTGTTCTCACTGTTCCTGTTTTCCCATTCCAGCATGGAGATGAGATGTACTTCCCCTGGGATGGCTCCATTGGTGTTCTCACTGTTCCTGTTTTCCCATTCCAGCATGGAGATGTACTTCCCGCAGAACGACTCGTGGATCGGCCTGGCCCCGCTGAGCATCCCGCGCTACGAGTTCGGGATCTGCGCGCTGGAGCAGAAGATCTACGTGGTGGGCGGCATCGCCACGCACGTGTGCCAGGGCATCAGCTACAGGAAGCACGAGAGCTCCGTGGAGTGCTGGGACCCCGACACCAACACGTGGAGCTCCCTGGAGAGGATGTTCGAGAGCCGCAGCACGCTGGGCGTGGCGGTGCTGGCCGGGGAGCTGTACGCGCTGGGCGGCTACGACGGGCAGTCCTACCTGCGCTCCGTGGAGAAGTACCTGCCCAAGGGCAAGGAGTGGCAGCCGGTGGCACCCATGAACAAGACGCGCAGCTGCTTCGCGGCCGCCGTGCTGGACGGGATGATCTACGCCATCGGGGGCTACGGGCCCGCCCACATGAACAGGTACCTGCTGCGCTGCCCGGGACAGGGCTCTTCCCCCAGGGGGTGCTTGGCACTGAACAGGCTCCCCAGGGCAGTGGGTCCCTTCCAACTCAGGATATTCTGTGATTCTGTGAATAATTTGAGTTATTAAATTATTCAGGGAGTGAATCCTACACGTTGCCATGCAGGCCCCAGGCTCCTACAAGCTCTGGCATTAAACCAAGCTCAGTGCTGGGTAGTTAACCACCTTTTCTCCCAACTCTGTGCTGCTGATGATCTTCTCTCCCCTTTTTTTCTGCCCTGTTGTGCTTTTGGAGCTGCACTTGGACAGGGAACAACTCAGTGCCGCAAGTGTGTTAATGACTGACCATCTGTACAGCTCCAGTGATCACAAAAATTAATAATGATGACATTTCATTTCCATTCATTCCCTCTACTACCCTCAGTGTTCGATCAGCAGCTTCTTTATTGCTTTTCCTGAGGAATATAAATACACTCTCCACTGTCCTCTCTGAATGTTATTTTCAGGCAAACCTCAAGGAAGTTTCTGATTTGCTGTGTTCCCCAAATAGATGCATTCTGGATCTGCATTGTGTTCAGTTTTCCATGAATTGATTTTTTAAAAAATTAGCACCAGACATCCTAGAAAGAGCTTTCAGCCCTGAGGGAGCTTGGTGGGTTTCAGGGTGTGACCTGAAGGTCCAGGATAGTGGCACGTGGACATCAGAGAGGCTGAGCTGCAGTCACTGTGTCAGGGGGAAATATTATGGGATCATTTAGGTGGGAAAACTCCTCTGAGATCATTGAGTCCAAACTTAGACTGGAAATGTTATAAAAATCTGTTAAAACTGGTTTTTGACAACACTGTTGGGACCCTCCACCTGCTCTGGTGGTGGGAGGACCCTGGGGTGGGATTAATGCTTCCGAGGTGGTAACACACAGTCTGTTGGTGCTACACAACAACTGCACCAGGGCATTTTCCACCAGCTCAAGCACTTTGTGTTTCATTCTTCCTGTGCTTGGCAGGGCTGTGGCTGTGAGTGCTGCAGGTTCCTGGAGGGCAGTCCCCTGTCCCCAGAGTGCCCGAGGGGCTCACAGGCTGTGTTTGTCTCCCCAGCATGGAGCGCTACGACCCGAGCAAGAACTCCTGGGAGAACGTGGCCTCCATGGCCGACAAACGGATCAACTTCGGCGTGGGGGTCATGCTGGGCTTCATCTTCGTGGTGGGGGGGCACAACGGGGTGTCCCACCTGTCCAGCATCGAGAGATACGACCCCCACCAGAACCAGTGGACGGTGTGCCGGCCCATGAAGGAGCCCAGGACAGGTGGGACATGCAGAGGGAGCTCAGGTGTCCTGTTGGGAATGACCTGTCTGAGCTGACAGAACCTGCAGTTAACGTCTGCAGAGCACTGCACTTCATCTGGGGGTGAAGGTCACTTAGTCAGCTCTGGGAAAGAATCATTTTTTATCTCTAAGGCCAGCTCATTAATACTGAGCTGTGGCAAAAATAATGTGGAGTAATATTTCTATTCTACCTCCTGCATTTTCACTGTTTTTGAGGAAGTTTCAGCAGTTGTGGTCACTGCACTGCTGTACCTGATGGGGACACTCAGTGGTGCATCTCTGTGGTGCAGCTGCAGCTCCTCCCAAGGGGCAGCTCAGTCTCTGCTCCCTGTGAGCAGGGACAGGACCCTGGAAGGGCTGGAGCTGTGCCAGGGCAGGCTCAGGGTGGATCTCAGGACAAGGCTCTTCCCCCAGAGGGTGGTTGGCACTGAACAGGCTCCCCAGGGCAGTGGGCACAGCCCCAAGGCTGCCAGAGCTCCAGGAGGGTTGGGATGATCCTCTGGGGCACAGGGGGGATTGTTGGGGTGTCCTGGGCAGGGCCAGGGCTTGGACTGGATGGTCCTTGGGGGTCCCTTCCAGCTCAGGCTATTTCATGATTCTGCTCTCCAGTCTCTTCTGCCCCCCTGCCAAGGGACAGAAGAACATTGTTTTATCATAGGAAGGGGCACGAGAGCAGTAAAAAAGGGCTGTCAGACCTGGGCTGAAAGGGCTCCTCACCCATTTTCTCCAAGGACAGCCCAGAGGAGAGGCTGTGAGGGCTCCCTGTTCGGGTGGAGGGCGGGTGGCTCTGTCGGGATCGCGGTGCCGGTGCCAGCCCTGGCTCACGGTGTGTTTCCCCCGCAGGGGTGGGGGCGGCGGTGATCGATAACTACCTGTACGTGGTGGGGGGGCACTCGGGCTCCTCCTACCTGAACACGGTGCAGAAGTACGACCCCATCTCGGACACGTGGCTGGACTCAGCGGGGATGATGTACTGCCGCTGCAACTTCGGCCTGGCCGCGCTCTGAGCGGGGCGGGGCCCCACGGACCTCACCGATGGCGGGACCGAGCTGGCTCTGCTTGCACACAGTCCCTGCGGGGCCCCGGGCTGCGCCTGAGGAACGTGCCGAGGTTGGGATTAAAATGAGCACTTGTTTTCTTCCCATAATTGGCCTTTGTTCTTGCAGCAGCAGAGGAGTGGAGAGCTGCTCCACCGGCGGGGCTCAGCTGGCCCCCTGTTGGTGGCAGTGGGGTTTGGGGAGTGCTGTCCGTGCCCGGGATCCGGTTGGAAACTCGTCCATCTAACCCTTTCTAGAGCTTTCCTCTCTTCCTCCTGCCTCCTCTGGAATATGAAGTTTACTGTGCTCGGGGTGAGAGCTGTGTGAGTGTGTGTGTGAGTGCAGGGTTTGCCGAGTGGTGCCTGGCTGTGGCTGCACGTGGAGAAAGCGCCAGTGCTTCATGGGTTTTTTATGACCAGTAACTCAAGGGCTGCCTTGTTTCTGTATCTCAAGGTTTGTAAATAATAAATGCCATAGGATGTTGCCTGTACACTCTCCTTTGTTACCTGCTCACCGGTAGGAGGGCTGGGAGGATCATTAGGAACTCCTTAGGGACATTTACAGGGCAAGTTTCTTGCCTCTCCGTGGCGTTTTTGGGTCTGATGACGAGAAATCGCATTTTTAACTTTCCCTCCTGTTTTCTTTCTGTGGAGAAATGACTGCTAGATGGCCTGACTTCATCTTGCTGTGTGTTTTCGGTTGGAATGCAAGGAAAAACCCCAGCAGCAGCATTCCCAGCATGATCCACAACAACCCCTCGAGCCCAGCCCGTCCCATCCCGCCCCCGAGCGCACTCGTGCCCGTGTTCCCTGGGACCTCCTTTCTTAAAGAATGTATGATCTGCTTTCTCAGAGTGTTCCCATCTACAAATGGTGCTAAATGTGGGGTTCACAGGGGGGCTGCTCCTGGTTTCAGTGCATAAAGCATGTTTGGGTTGTTCCAGTGCTTTGGTTTCCCCTTTGCTCCGTCCACCCATGCCTACGGAACTGTCCTGGATCACACCACGAGCTCTTCACTGGCTACTTGAGTGGGGTTTTATTTCAGATCTGTGTTTATTGTTCCCATTCTCACAAACAGGGAGATCCCAGCTCTGGTTCTTCCCACAGCTTTGCCTTCAGCACCAGTGCAGTGAGGTAGAAGCCCAGGGCTCCTCCCAAACCTGTGTCCTGCTGAGGCCAAAGGTCACCCCTGGGATTAACCCCAGTGTGGGACAGCCCAAAACTCTGTGGAAATTGGGGCAGAGAGATAGGAACCAACGCTGGGAGTTAGAACCTTTATTTAAAATAGAATTAAAGTAGAATTTTAGCTAATTTAGACTATTTTGGGTTGTCCTCTGATCACAGCTACCTTGGATTTGTGTTGCTGTCTGTCTGGCTGTTGCCAGGCCTGGTACTGAGGAGTTTTTCTGCCTCCAGAGTCCCTCTCCCTTTGCTGTAACATGTTAAATTAATGTTTGTTTCCCCCTGGTTTTCAAGCCCATGTAGTATTATTTTTGACAGTGCAATAATATTTGAAATAGTTGCTTTAAAAGCCATTTCTTTATAATTCTGCTGAGCTGGGGGGTGTTGAGTGCTCTGGATTTCTGCTGAGTTCCTGTGGAGCTGGCTGCAGCCAGGGAAGCAGTGCTGGTCCTGTGCTTCCACCCTGAACACTCGGATTGAGCCGGTCAGGGAGGGTGTTTGACCGTAAAACACTGCTCATAAAGAACAGGTGTTTGCACAGACTATAGAATCCTGCAGGTCTGCTTCAGATTTGGTAGAATCAAGCAGGACTTTAAATGTAAATAAGGTAAACTGCATTGAAAATGCTGAAATTGTTGATTTAACCCACTAAGGATTCCAGTTATAGCAATAATAACCTGATTTAATTATTCCAGGGCATCTCTTGGTAGGGCATGAGGAGCTGCATGGCTGTATTTGCATGTTTGTGTGTGGGGAGGAGAAGGAATCATGGAATCAGGGAATGGTTTGGCTTGGAGGGACCTTAAAGCCCATCCACCCCCTGCCATGGGCAGGGACACCTTCCACCAGCCCAGGGTGCTCCAAGCCCCATCCAGCCTGGCCTTGGACACTTCCAGGGATGGATCAGAATAAAAAATCCATGGGTCAGGTGGTTATTTGTACAAACACCTTTCAATCACAGAGTTCAAAGCACTTAAAACTGCAAAATGTTTTATGCTCGTTCCCCAGGCAGTGGGAATGGTAAATCCCGGAATGCTGTGGGTTGGAAGGGACCTTAAAGCCCCTCTCATTCCACCCTCTGCCAGGGGCAGTTCCTAGGGAATCGTGTCCCTTGAAATCATGCCATCTCTATTCCCCATCCAGGTGCTGCTTGTCCTGTCACTGAAGTGCTTTGGGTAGGGGAGGATCAGACTCAACAGTCAGTGTAAAATCTGCTTTTAAACATCAATAATCTCATGGGAATGTCTCTCTGCAGGTTAAAAATTAAGGACCTTCAACTAAGATGTCACAACAACTCCAAATTATCATCCAGTTCCAGTTCTGACTCTCTCCATGTATCTGTAGAGCACTTTACACCGGGTTGCAATGAGTTTATGTGTGTACATACAGCTCCTCAACTTCTGCTTTTTTTGAGATACTCATTTCTAAGCTGCTTGACAGTCTCTCTTCCTACAAATGCTTTCCTTTCAGGAAGCCTACTTGGAATTTCTAGAGGGGTAAATGTGTCCAGTCCACGTTCCAAACAGGTTTTTTTCTGGGAGGTACCGTGTTCTTCCCATGAGTTTCCCATCTGTAAGTCCCCATTCACTGTATGAAACAATGCAAAACGCCCAAACTTGCCTTAAATTCTTTCTCTTGACCTGAAACGCAGAGAACTGGATGATAATTCCTGGTTTTTTGCCTTATGAGCTGTGCTGTATTTTAAACCCAAGGATTTTTAGCAGGATTTAATAACTGTACAGAGAATACCAAATTGTACTCGGACTTGCCCAGAGGGCTTTGCTTGGGAGTGAAACCTGATCCCTGTGGTTTGTGCACGTGTTTTTACCTGGACATCTCTTCTTTTCTTTAGCAGCAACGTCCTGACTTTGTTCTCGTTTACAAAAGTGGCATTTGAGTCCCACAGGAAAAGAACTGTGAGGTGTTTTGGGGTCTTTGGTAGTTCCCAAGGTGTTGCTTTTGTGCTCTGTAAGTATTTGTTGTAACTATTTCATTGAATGTGAAACCATTTAGTAAATAAACCTGGGGAAAAACTGACTTGTCTGATGGTTGGTCGTGGGGCTCCCACCTCCATCCCTGCCACACCTCCATGCTTCCTGGCCCTTGTCCCTCTTGTTTTTCCAGGCAGTTTATGATCAAATCTCCTTTTTTTTTTTTTTTTTTTAACCCACACACTGCTTTAATTTACAATTAATGCATTTCCATAAGTTAGGTGGATTATTGCCCTGCAGAGTGGGACGTATCCACACTGAGGAAAGGCTGGGAGACCTGGGATTGTCCAGCCTGGAGAGCAGAAGCTTTGGGGTGACCTGATTGTGGCCTTCCAGGACCTGAAGGAGCTACAGGAAACATGGAGAGGGACTATTTACAATTTACAAGAGCCTGGCAGAGCCTCCCCCGTGATGGACAAAGCAGAGCCAGGAGATCCCTGTGCATTACCCAAGGTGTGGCTGAAGATTCCTGGGGGGACTGAAGGAACCCCCCATGCTGCTCAGCTGCCGTTGGGCAGCAGGGGCACTGCTGGGACAGAGTGGGAAGTGCTCTGACATCCCTCTCCCTGTGTCCCAAGGGAGGCACCACACTCTCCTTGCCATCCATCAGCACAAGGTTCCAAGGAATGTGCCAGCCAGCGGAGAGGCTGCCTGTGCGTGGGTATCCCAGTGGGATCCACGAACATATTGATTCCCAGGGTTTTCAGGGCTGTGAGCAGAGCAGGGACGAGCTCAAACCTGGAAGAGCAGGGGGTGTTGAGGCTGGAATTCTGTGGCTCCCACAGCAGGTGCAGCAGAGCCCGAAGCTCAGGGTGCCTGAGGCTTTGAGGGGAAGGAGTATGAACATGACATCAGATACTCCTCCTGCCCCTCTCCTCCCCCTCCCTGCCTGAAGGGTGGGCTGGCTGTGGTCTCCCATGGTCCTGCTTCCACACAGCGGCTGCTTTGGAGCTGATGGATGGGGGATTCCAGCATGCCCTGGCGGCCCCAGCATTTCTCCGTGCTGGGAGCAGAGCAAAGCAAACACTTCAGCTCCTCCTGCAGTTCCTGGCAATGCATAGATTAGGAATTTGAAGATATTAAGTTTTTGTTGAGGATGCTTAGGGAAATACCTCCATCTGTTCCTCCCTGAGACAGACAGGGACGGATGACTGAGGCTTCAGGTGCATTTTATATCCATAAAACTGGGCTCAGCCCCCTTCAGCCTCTCCCCTAAACCAGCCTGAAACCCTAATTCCAACCCCCCTGCCGTGGGCAGGGACACGTTCCACTGGACCAGGTTGCTCCAAACCCCATCCAGCCTGGCCTGGGACACTTCCAGGGATGGATCAGAGTAAAAAATCCATCGGTCAGGCGATTATTTCTATAAACACCTCCCAGAAGTCAAAGCACGTTCCGGGGCTGGAGTCCCCGTGCTGCAGCACCAGGGACAGCACGGCACTGGATGCCGTTCCCATCGGGATCCCCTGGCTGCTCTGGGGAGGCCCAGGCTGAGTGCGGGGAGCCTGATGATAAAATCCGGCAGCTGATAACGCCCTGCAGGGCATGGGACGTGCCCTGTGTAACAGCAGGTGGATTTCCCAGCGCTCCCGGCCCTTTGTGGCAGCATCACTGTTAAAAACCCACGGGAAGAGAGCCTGAGGCTGGGAACTGGGATGAGTGGGATGGATAAACCTGGCTTTCCAGCTGTCCCTGCCTGGGCCATGCCCCTCCAGGCTGGACCTGCAGCACTGGGGGTGAGGCTGCCCAGAGCTGTGGCTGCCCCCGGATCCCTGGAAGTGTCCAAGGCCAGGCTGGAGCAACCTGAAGCTCAGGGGTGGTTTGGGTGCCTGTCTGAGAATATGAGAGTGTAAAAAGATATGAACATGAGTATAAAATATTCTCCCTCCCCCTCTCCCCTCCCTTTGGCTCAGGGCAGCTGCAGCTGAGCAGACCGTGGTGAGCTGTGTTGCACAAATCCCTCAGGGAGCTGCTGCATCCCAGATGGATCCACAGGGACCTTGGCTGCTGGAGGGGGCAAGCAGACTGTGCTGTGTCCAGCTCCTGCTGTACAGAGACATTCAAATTGCACTTTTAGGGGATATTTTGCGGTTTATAACCCAAGAGGACAAGGAGGTGCCTGTTTGAGGTCAGATACAGGCCCTGCATTGCCCTGTTAGCAACCCAAAAGCAGCCCTTCAGTGGTTTATTCTGGGCACTCAAGGAGAGGTTTTTACCCCTTCTATTCACACCTTCAAACACTTTCCCTGAGGGAGACACATCCTGTGCCTCGAAGGTGCTGTGCCAGCCAGGATGGGTCTGTGTGCCCACAGGAACCCCCCAGAGGTTGGACCCTCGAGGCTCCGAGCACCTTCCCCAGCCCTGACTGTGCCTTGGGGGATCCACCATCGGTGCCCAGGGGCTCCAGGCAGGATTGCTGTCCCGGGCTGCTCTGGGGAAATGGAAAGCCGCTCCTTCCCTCGTGATTCCCGGCGCTGGGGGAGCGGGAGCTGCAGCGGGGCTGGCGGGCACTGGGTGTCACTGTCGGACCGCGCACGGGCGGCACGGGGGGCCGTGTCCCTCCCAGAGCCCCCGCCCCAGGGTATCCCTGAATCCCTGAGGCTGGAAAAGCCCTCCCAGCCCATGGATCCCCCTGTGCCCATCCCCACCTTGTCCCCAGCCCAGAGCACTGAGTGCCACGGCCAGGCCTGCCTTGGACACCTCCAGGGCTGGGCACTCCAAACCTCCCTGGGCAGCCCCTGCCAGGGCCTGACCACCCTTTCCAGGCAGAAATTCCTGCTGCTGTGAGTTTATCAAACACAGCCAACACCACACTCGCTCGGCGAGTTCTCCCTCGAGTCCGTGGGCACTGATGGTGGATCCCCCTGTCCTGGAATCATGGAATCATGGAATCATTTAAGTTGGAAAAACCCTCCAAGGTTTTGGAGTTAACCCAGCACTGCCAAGGCCACCCCTGCCCCATGTCCCCAAGTGCCACATCCACAGGGCTTTGGAATCCCTCCAGGGTTGGGGATTCCCCCCTGCCCTGGGCAGCTGTGCCAGGGCTGGACAACCTTTCCAGGTAGAAATTTTCCTGATATCCATTCTAAGCCTCCCCTGGTGCAACTTGAGGCCACTTCCTCTTGTCCTGTCCCTCGTTCCCTGGGAGATGAGGTGTCACCACTATCTCAGGCCAAGAGGCTCCTCAGTGGCCCAGGCACCTTCCACCATCTCAGCTTGCTCCAAACCCCATCCAACCTGGCCTTGGACACTTCCAGGGATCCAGGGGCAGCCACAGCTTCTCTGGGCAACCTGTGCCAGAGTCTCTACTTCTATTTGAGCTTCTGTTCCACCCCCCTGGCCCTGGAAATCCCATGGAAGGTTTGGAGATGCGCCTGTGCATACACAAGGCATGTGCTGAGCTTTCTCTGCCTCCCTGTTTATTTTAAATCCTAAATGAAAAAGTACTTTACCTACTAGTGCAGATTAATTTGGAGAGCTGGAGATAATAACACTTTTTAAATTTCCCCTGAATTTCCCAAAGGGTTTGTGGTGATTCAGACTGAACTAATTCAGCTCAGGCTGATGCCCAACTAGAAACAAACACAGACTTTTTTATTTTATTATTGTTCTCCCAAGTCCTCACCCAGGGCAGGGAGGAAGCTGTGAAAATAATAAATCCAGTGAAGGATGGGGAAATCCTGGGACAGGGAGGTTCTGCAGGCTGGATGCATCCAGACCGAGGAGACTGGATTTGGGTTCCCCTCACTGGCAGGGTGGGAATGGGAAGGAGGGGAGGGGTGAAAGGGGAGCAGGGTGGTCCCTGTGGGGCCTGGTCCCTGTGGTGCCTCATCTTGGCTTCTGGGAGAGGGGACAAAGCATCCTTCCTTCCCAAAACCCTTCCTGTGGCCATCCCATGCCCGAGGTGCAATGAATATTTGCAGGAGTTTCTCTAATTCCCAGGAATCCCTGCAGGGTTTCCAATAGTGCCTTTGACAGGGTGAATCCAGCCAGGAAGTGCCCGTCCCTGGAAGGGTTCAAGGTCAGGCTGGACGGGCTTTGGAGCGACCTGGTCTGGTGGATTTGTGGCTCAAAGCTGGCTTTTCCCAAACCCATCCCAAAATTTGCACGACTGTCTCCTCAGGTGAGTAGGGAAGGTTTAGATGCTCCATCCCCATTCCGTGGCCATCCCAAATCCTCAGGAAGGCTGCCAGGGGCTCCCTCAAGAGCCAGATGTGCTGCTGGGGATGAGGAGGTGCTGTTGCCCTCCCTGGCTCTGACAGGTGGGATTGGGGCTGGCAGGACCCCCCACCTGCCCCACAACCCCCCAGCCTCAATGGCCCTGCACAGCAACCCCCAAATATTGACCCCACAGGAGTATTTGAAGCCAACAGAGTCTGACTGAGTGTTGTTCCTAAAAAGCTGCTGGGAGGATGTGGAGAAGAAGAGCCCTCAGTTAATCCTGGAAGTGTCCAGTGAGCTGGTTCTGTGTCCCTCTGTGCCTTCCCAGGGCTCCTCCCTCCCCAGGGCTATCATACTGTTGTATCTGCTCTCACATTATCTGCTCTCACATCATCGCCGGGTGAGAGCCAGCCCAGCCGCTCTGATTCCAAGTGACAGCCCCCACTGCACAGTGTCAGCCCGGATTTCCAGCAGCAGAGAGAGAGACAGAGTGAGGAAATGGGGGGGAAAGCATTTTAATGCTCCCTGGAGACGCTGTAGGATGAGCTGTGACACGGGGGGATGTGGGGCACGTGGAGCCAGCTGTGCTCAGTGCCAGCACAGCACCCACCCCCGGGGCCCAGCTCTGGGGGCTTCCCCTGGGACAGCCCAGCGGGGACCTGGGAGCACTGGGGATGGAGGGAGTGGCATTTCCAGTGGCTCTGGTGGTCCCAGGAGTTGTGGGGTCCCTGGGCAGTAACAGCCCAGGGAGCAGCTGGGGCTGAGCCCCGAGTCCCCCCCACCTTGGGGACCCCCTGGGAGGGAGCAGGGGGGTCTGCACCACCCTGGACAGCTCTGGGACAGCCCTGGGGCAGGGACAGGCTGGGGATGGGATGTGGGATTGCA